AGTGAGCCATCAATCCCTGAGTTGATAGGCAGAAAACCAACAATCCCTGAGTTAATAGGCAGAAAACCCACAATCTCAGAGTTAATAGGCAGAAAACCCACAAATCCTGAGTTAAGGGCAGTAAACCATCAATCCCCAAGTGGATAGGCAGAAAACCATCAATCCCTGAGTCAAAAGGCAGGAAATCATCAATTTCTAAGTATATAGGCAGAAAACCATCAGTCCCTGAGTGAATAGGCAGAAAACCATTAATTGGACCTGAGTTAAAGTAGGCAGAAAACCCACAATCACTGACTTAATAGGCAGAAAACTTCACCACTATAGGGCTACCTGTTCCATTTAGCTCATTTTGATTAACTTGCAATAATGATCCGGAGCATAAGTCAAGTCATTATAAGTCTGATTGACTTCAAACTTGGTATGCATGCTTCTTATAATGACCCGAAGTGCAGTGCATAAGAATCAATACAGTAAAGACTGTTTACAGTGACCTTCGATGGGAGAAAAGAAAAAAGGTCATTATAGACAGGGAGTCATTGTGGACAGACTCTACATAATTCGGATATATGAACATATCATACCAATATTTTGTTGAAAAGCAGGATAGTACCATACTAAGGGTTTAATTATATTTATAATTGATATTAAACATATCAAATATCTTTTATAAAAAACAATAGAGTATTAAAATTGCATGTATAATTGGTTAAGAATATAAACTACACCATAACATTAGTATTTAAAAGTTACATATTCATTAAAATGTAATTTATATTGATAAATCTGTTTGTAAAAAAATGTTTAATTTCAATTTTACTAATGAGATGTTACTGTAGAGACATTTAATTTTGTATAATCAGCCTGTTTACTTTACGGAGTTCAATGTATTAATAAAACATTAGATACAAATCTTCACATAATTTCTACAGATAAGTGCTCCGAAAAAAATTAACAATCGAGGTTTCAAACATAACTACACCTTTAAGACGTTTGGCATTGTTTATCTTTTCGTGTATTGAACTTTGTTGATGTTGACACGCGTTCTTAATTAGCGGATTAACGGTAATTGGTTGTAATTGAGAGGTAAACAAATTATTAGCAGACCTAGCGGCGTAAATAAGTATGACGGAAAATTATAAAAATCGGGCGACTTCAAAATCTCTTTGAAGTTTGTTTTAGGCAAAGTCGCTGATCCGAAGGCGACTTCTTCGCCAAAGTCGTCACCTAGTTCAAGCCTTGCTCCCCTTGCAAAAGTCGCTGTTCACGGCTCAAATACCGTAACGGGTGACTAATTCATGGTCGTTGTACGGACTAGACAGGGAGTCGCTACATACAGACCATTTATATAGTAAATACTGTTCGGCGCACCTAAATATGGTCACTAAAGACAGAACGTCACTATATACAGGGGGTCGCTAAGACAGTCTTAACTGTACTCTGCACTTCTTAATTTTTGAGTTATTGCCCTTTGTTAATTTTCATACTTTATTTTTGCCCGGGCCATTTCTCCTTATGTATAAAAGCTATGGACTTGAAACTTTATAGGATGATAAACCTCATTTAGAAGAAGTGCAGTGCACAAGAACCGGTACTCTGCATTTCTTATTTTTTGAGTTATTGCCCTTTGTTAATTTTCATACTTTATTTTTGTCCAGGCCATTTATCCTAAAGTATAAAAGCTATGGACATGAAACTTCATATGATGATAGGTCTCATAAGAAGAAGTGCAGTGCAAAGAACTGGTACTCTGCATTTCTTATTTTTTTGAGTTATTGCCCTTTGTTAATTTTCATACTTTTTTTTTGTCCAGGCCATTTCTCCTAAAGTATAAAAGCTATGGTCTTTAAACTTCATAGAATGATAGATCTCATTAAGAAAAAGTGCAGTGTACAAGAACCGGTACTCTACACTTCTTATTTTTGAGTTATTACCCTTTATTAATTTTCTTACTTTATTTTTTGTCCAGGCCATTTCTCATAAATTATGAAAGCTATGGACTTGAAACTAATTCATAGGATGATAGATTTTATTGATAAGAAATGCAGTGCACAGAAACTTTTTTTGAGTTATTACCCTTTGTTAATTTTCATATTTCATTTTTGTCCTGGCCATTTCTCCTAAACTATATTGTTCACAAGGCGACACATCCGACTCAGGGAGTTCTAGTGTTTATTTATCATAACAATCAGTGTTAACATATTGACAATGTTATTTAGATCAATTATATGATATATGCAACATTTACTTTCATCTTGCTTTTATTGCTGTCATGAAACCCTTTTGATGAAATTCAAGTTTTTGGTTGCATTCATACAATTTTCTGATGCATTTGTTTTTTTACCTTGTTTGAAAAGTTAATGATTTTACAATTTTAATAAACAAAACTTAATTACACCTCTGTGAATTAATGCACAGGATGTGCGAGGCAGAATTGCTTTCATTCTTTTATCACCAAATGTATAGAACACTTGATTAGAATTTCCCAGTAATGAATTAAAATGAAGCTTCAATATTCATGGGTGTGAAGTCAGTGCTATTAAAATATACCATCAGGTGGGAAATTATCACTTCAGGAATTAGACTATATTAGTAACTATAACAGAACTGCCAATGATTATATATTGATTGATATTGAATCAATTTTGTGAAAAGTGGCACACCACTAGATCAGACTTAAAAATGATCAAATTTGCCATTGACCTTAACACTGACTGTGTTGGTGTTACTTAAAGCCCAACAAAAAAATATCTGTGAAAATTAAGGAATCATAAGCCATTTAATGTTTGCCTGTCATGTCTGTCACCCAGGGATCGTAAGCCATTTAATTTAATCTTTTTTATATAAGATTAATATTGAACAGATGATTTGGGAGTAAAATTCATTTAGTAAATGTATCCTAGTGATGCACCAAGGAAACATTTCAGTGATTTTGAACTATAAATGTGATGGGTGTTTTATCTTTATTGTCTGGTATAATATTAAAATATTTAGGTATTTCAATATGTCCCCCTGCCCAGTTTTAGTTGATATCTCATAACCTGTTCAGGCAAGTATTCAAGAATGTGTAGGGAAGTGATGGCCAAGTAGCTAACTGTTTTGGCCAGTGACTGTGGGTTTGAGCCCTATTAGGGTCACAACCATGTTTCCTCATATGACTGGTTAGTTCCAGGAAGAGTACTTGAGAGTGGTTTGAATATAAGTTTGGAGTATTCTTCAATAAAGCTTCATCTAAGTTTATTCATACTTTTTTTTTATTTATTTTTTATTTGATTTATCCTATGATTTGATGGGGCATGTGAAAAGTATATATAAAACATAGTCAAGAAAAACCTGCTGACTTTGTGTAGTGGATTTGCACAGCTTTCAATTTTGAACAGTCCATTTAAAGCTGAAGGGATTTCCCAAAATCAAAACACCAAAAATTTAAAATTAACTATTTAACCGTTGCGAAAATTTGAGCCTTGTCAAAATGGCCCAGCTTGGCTTTTATAAAATTAAAATGGTTTGGGAAAAAAATTATCACTTTTCTGTTCCTTCAATATAGGGTTTTTAAACACCTAAATAATTTTTTTATCATTTTTAAATTTTTTCCCTTTTTTAGTGCCTTTAAAGATATTTATGCTTTTAAATTGATATTGATATTTGGGAAAAAAATGATTTATAAATGACTTAAGTCTTTTTTAAAATTTTTTATAAGTCTTTTAAATTTTTTTATGGGAAACCCCAGAAATATATGTTACATTTTAAAAATACCCGTTTACTGTAGTAAAAAAACATATGAATACTATGATAGTATCTTTTAAAAACTCAGTGTTTTAAAAATTGACCAGTTATAGGGATTGCATCTTCCCCAAAATAGTTTGTGCATTCTGTTATTCATATAAGACAGTAAGAATTTCCTAGATTTTAATAAATAGCCACACTAGAAGTATTTTATCCAAAGATGAGCATATTATATCTTAAACAGTTAAATTCAAGACAAAAACCAAAAGGAAAAATATCATGTGTTTTCCTGACACTGGATGGTTATAGGGTTCTTTTAAAAGTAAATATGTTAACAAAAGTCCATTCTATCTTAAAGTTGTCTCTGTTCAATAAACACTTACAAATTACCATGCAAGATTAAATAGGTTATAATTGATTAATTGTGATATTTGATCAATATTTAACCTTTTGCTGTTTATCTCTTGAAACTGTTGATTTAAAGTTTTTGATTAATGCTGATTAATGGAATGTCATTAAACATTTCTATAATCAATGGTAAAAATTAAAAAAAACAAAAAAACAAACAAACTTATAGACACATTTAGAATACAATTAGAAACAAGAATAATAATTCATATGAAAATTAAACAATTACATGTAACTGTATTCACATGAAAATAAGGAAATCAAAAACAAGAATTGTTATACATGAAGTGAAGAAAATGATTATTTACATGATTTTCTTAATACTGAACATAATAAATAATCATTCACATCTATGGAAACCAATCACATCTATAAGAAATCATTCACATCTATGGAAACCTGTGAATCACATCTATAAGAAATCATTCACATCTATAGAAGGAACTCATTCACATATATAGAAACCAATCACATCTATAAAAATCATTCACATCTATGAAAACCAATCACATCTATAAGAAATCATTCACATCTATTTAAGTGACTCATTCACATCTGTGGAAATCAATCACATCTATTGAAATTATTCACATTTATATAAATCATGCATTCACTTGTATGGAAACCAATCACATCTATGAAATCATGCATTCACATTTATGGAAAATTAGAATATTTTGGCACACTGATTTTTCACAAAAACCATTTCATACTCCTGTAACTAAAGAAAACAAGTCTACATATAATTCATAGTTTACATTGTTAATGTGCCTCGATAAAAACAAACAAGAATTAATAAAATCAATCATACAACAGAAGAATGAAGAACGATTATTCATAAATACCAATTTACTGTTATATTATTACAGAGGTAGCAGTAGAAACTGGGGCTGGGCATCAGGAGGAGCTTCTATACTGTCAGAGTTTGGTTCCATGCATCTAGAATTTGTCTATCTCTCTAATGTTACAGGAAATGCTGTGTTTGCCGAGAAGGTAAGATAACCAAACTCTGCTTTATATTATGAAGCCTTACAAAAAATAAAGATCTTAGTTTGATTGACATATGACTGTAGATTTGGTGAGAGAAGTGTTATCAGTTTTACATTAAAGGTATTAAAATGTAGAGATGTTGGTGTTTTCTGAGTGTAACACAAGTGATATGTGACTTACCGAGCTAGCTACTTACATGTTGATGGTTCTACTTATATGCACACTAGTGTCTGAAATACTGCACACAAACCATCTTGTGTCTTCTGGTACAGATAGCTGGAGAGTTAACATATCAAACAAATTATCATGTCGTTCTAAAAACAAAAACAACACAACAACATCCAAAAACTTCAATGGCAAAGTTTACCATACAATCAAGACACCAGCCCATACACAAATTGCAGAATATGTACAAAAATATTAGTCATTTGAGGTGATGATAATTATAGTATTTTCAAAAATAATGCAAAGAAACCCAGCAAAATCAGGAGAAGAAATCAATTAAGATCAAAATTAACAACTTCTTTCTTGTGTAGAACATTATAATATGTTTTATTTCTGATCAATAGATGTTTTGCTTTAAATCAGGCAAAGATGTTGGATTACTTCTGGGACAAGTATATCATTCAGGCAGTCTTTTGATATTCACTATACGTTAAACTATATGTGTGATTGTTTATCACCTTGCTGAATTTCTTAAATGCCTTTGCTCACCTTTAATATTTTGGACTGTCCATTATCAATTTTGGGGATGTCAAGATAAGAAATTCAAGTGTGTCAGCCAACAGTGTGGAGCCTTGTCGGACTGTATGGTAGTACATGTTGACCTGGCTCTATACTGGTGGTAAATGCTAAGTTTGGTATCTATAGGTAAAGGGTTAAATGTATTATTTCTTGTACATGTATATATTTTGTATTTTCAGGTTTACAAAATTAGAGACTTCTTAAATGAAATAGAAAAACCAAATGGGTTATATCCAAATTACCTCAACCCAAGGACTGGCAAATGGGGACAACGTAAGGACTTGACTACCATTATTTTTATTCATTGTTATTTTATTTCAGATAATGATGTTCATTTGGCAAATTCTTCTAGTCTTAACAATTTCCTCAAACTACCTCCTGTTAAAATTGGCTAGTTCTGTCTGCCACAAACTAAACAATAAATGTCTGGTGCCAATGCTTATGTATATACAGTTTATTCTTTTGACCAGTTATCATTTACAAGCATTTAAACAATTGTCTGTTTTAGTTATTTGGAATATGATTAAAAGTAAAGGATTTGGAAAAATTTAATGATACGATATTTTAAGAAAACTAAATTAGTGACAATGCAACTTAATTTAAACCATCTGCCTTGTTATTACTGCCTTGTTTGTTCTATAACATTAATTCAGTTTGTACACCTATCATCATGTCCTACAGTTATAGGGCTTACTCTAGCTGACTGTCTGCACGTGAATGATTAAAGTTAAGCTGTTGTCGTCTACGTAGATGTTGAAAAAATTGCTTCGTCAGCATATTACTGTATTTGATCTGTTTTACGAATTTCCTAAAGAAAATAATGTATTATACTTAAAGTGTTAGTTCGGATAACACTGAAAGTGGTAAATGTTTGTTCATTAGATATATTCATAAGAAATTAATGGTACAACCAAACATTTTGTTTTATATTTACAGACCATGTTGCTATAGGTGCATTAGGAGACAGTTTTTACGAGTATTTGCTCAAGGCGTGGTTATTGTCAGGTAAAACTGATACAACAGCTCGTAAGATGTATGATGATGCTGTCAAGGTATATTTAAATTTTTACACATAATGATAAAATCTTTAACAAAAGAAGGTAACATACATACATAGTTTACTCATAAAAAATGCTATACTTACTTTCTCTTTAGCCTTCTGACTTAACAATAAGTTGGGGTGTCTGTGGCCGAGTGGTTAGGGTTGTTGACTTCAAACTACTTGCCCCTCACTGCTGTGGCTTCGAATCACGACAGGGACTTTGGATTCTTTCATGTCAGAAACCTATCCAGCTAGCTTACAGAACGTCGGTGGTTCTACTCGGAGGCCTGTTTGTGCCTGAAATAATGCACAGAAGGGCATCTGTTGTCTTCCCCCACCAGTAAAGCTGAAACGTCGCCATATGATCTATAAAGTGTCACTGTGACGTAAAACCTAATCAAACAAACAACAGTAAGTTAACCAAATGAATAAAAAATATGCATGTATACAAAATTCAGTATACAAAATTCAGAAATCCCATTGCACACAATCAAAAATTCATATACATGTACTACTAACTTTTACATAGATGACATTGTACATAAATGTTCATTGTTTTTTCATGTAAATAACACCTACACAATTTCTATCATCTGTTAGTCATATGACCCTTCTGTTAGCTGCTGATTTATGTTCTTTATCACTCATAATGCTAAATATTGTTAAGGACTTGCACATCTTTCAATTTGGACTAAACCATTCATCCCTTTATAGGGATGGTTTCAAAATGTATACTGACTGAGTAGCAAACATTGCAGACCATAATCTTGGTCTGCACTGTTTGCATAGGTAGATTTTGCAGCCGCAAGATGGTTTAATGTTTATACATAAAACACTTATATATTCATACTGATCTAGAATTCTGAGAAATTTGTGATGGAAATGTTGAAGAAATGATGACATTTTTATTTGCATTTATGTACAAGATTGTTCTCCTAGTAAATGTTAGAATTCTATTACATGCAACACAAAAGCTGTCACCAAACAAATCTGAATTGTTAATAACCATGCATTTATGCTTCTTCAGTAAATGTCTACAATATCATAGACTTTTCATTATTTTTCTGACTGAATAAACGTAATGGTAGCTATTTCTATTGTATTTTGGTTATGTGAGAGACATTTGTTATGGTTGTGTTAATTTGTATGGTAACCTCATTTATAGAATGTTTCATTAACCAGATAATTACAACTGTTATCAGCGGTGTATTGTACACTCAGTTGTGGAATATAGAAAACTTTTATATTGCTGTCTGTTTATACTTAGTAAATAGCAATGAACTGTGGCTGTTGCCATTTAATTTAACATTATTGACTATTTCCATTTTTGGTTAGGTTTATTGTGCAACACTGAACAATAAACAATAAAATGGCTGCATAGCATCCTCATAATAATGAATCAAAAATGGTTTTTGTCCTTAAAATATCACTTGTTAGATTAGATTATTAATTTGCTATAAACCGTTGTTCACTATACATGTATGTAAGCTTACTAGCATTCATAAACTTGTAAAAATCTTTATAACTTATATTGTATCATTTTATCTATGGAAATATACATAAACACATACTATATTGTCATATATATCAAAATGCATATAAAACACACAAAAAATGCAACAAAATAATTATAAAATTAATTAGTAATATTTTATCCTAGAATTACCCATTAAGCTAAAAGCTTATTTCTAGTGGGGTCCAATTACTGTATTATTAACACACTAAATTATGTAGTAATAAATGAATTATTATGAAGTTAAAATAAATGAAATAATTTTGCCAACATTGTACTACAATGAAGACACATTTAAGGATATGTTAAGACAAATATATTTTATACATTGATGAATTAGAAATATTGCAAATCATGTCAGAAATGCTTGTAGAATAACATGTATAATTATGTGTTTTAAGAAAGTTTTGTGAAAAATATTTTTTACAGGCTATTGAAGAAAATTTGATAAAGGTTTCCCCAGGTGGACTAAAATATGTTGCAGAATATAAGTCTGGTAGAATAGAAAACAAGATGGACCATCTAGGATGTTTCTGTGGTATGTATATCATATAGGACATGAGACAGTTGTTTAAGTTGTTGAAATTTCAATGAAAACGATGTTTATTAACTCTCTGAGCTCTTATGCCACTAGTGTAAAGCCAGCTGAGCCTGTAACTCTCCATACAGTCTAACCAGGCCATGTGGTTATGAAACTTTTTTGTGAGTCAGGATTTTCATTGGGCAGAGTACATTCTGTGACAGTTTCTAACCATCAAATCAATCAAATACCTGAGATCTCTGTTTGAGCTTGAAGGATTTCTTTATAACATTGGATAAGTAGCCAAGTTTGTTTTTGTTCTCTGATATATTGATACACATTGAATAGGAAGGCACACTTATGATATTTGATATCGTACATCTTATGCTTAATATCAACATATCTTTAGAGTAAAGAAATTCACCACTAGTGGCAGACTCAACTCTATTGATCTGTATTCCATGATTTCATAAATCATCAAAGTTTAAAAAAAAAAGCTGTAACCTCTCGTATTGATAAAAGTTTTTATTGGATGGTATGTTCATGTACATTTAATTCATCAGATGTACATTTAATTCATCATATCTGAATTGAAAAATTTGTAATGCATCCTAATAAGGTTAAAGTTATCTTTATGTTAAAAAAATGAGTTATTCCTGTTTTTTAAATGCAAGATAAACAATTTACTTTTGAGTGTTCCAGGAAGAGTTCACTTATGACTGACAGTATAAATAATAACAATCATGAATTGGTAATGTTATAATGAGTTTTAACATGATTTATTATTTATATTACAGGGGGTATGTTTGCACTAGGGGCCGAAGGATCACCAGACCCAGAGAAATATAAAAAACTAGGGGCTGATATCGCCCATACTTGTCATGAATCTTATGACAGATCAGGTTTGCATTTTATTTCTATATAATCAACATACAGATGTTTAAATTAAAACAGACAGATATGAAAAAAATTATTTAGATTAAGAAATATTCTCATTATAAATTTGAAATTGTATTTTTGCATTATTTCATAGCCTGATTTGAGTGAAAAGCGTTGCAATGCTGAGTGAAAAGCGTTGCATCAATTTTCAATTTTGGATCATTTCTTACAATTTAAATAATTATTCTCGAAAAAAATGAGTGCATGATCTGAAAGTTTGCACACAAGTTATGCAATGATCCCGTCAAAAAACCTCAGCAGAGTGCCTTTAAGAATAGCTATTTATGTACATAAAATTTTATGGAATTAGCTTATTAAGCACGCTGTCTAAAAATCAATAAATATCAGACTAAAATAAACAGTAAATAACACAGGTATATGTTATATGTTCTGTTAAGTAACTTTTTACTTTTAAACAATCTCTCGGATTTATTTTAACCCTTTGAAGTTTAGTAGTACTAAGGATAGACATGCCACAGCAGTATAGAACCAGGCCAGCCTACTCTTTTATGTAGTCTGCACTACCCTGTACTATTGCCTGCTCAATTTCAATATCTCTGTACCTAAACCCCTAAAACTTACAAAGGAATTGTCCATTTTCAAAGCAGGATAAGTCCATTACACAAAATAAGAAAAAGTAAAATCTATTTTTAGAACAAATCATGTGCCGTAAAGTAGACCCGTTTTTTTATAAGTTAAGACAATGATTTCTTTATACTCTGATATTTTATAACCCAGATGAAGACTCGAGTCGAAACTTCGGTTGTCATCATTAAATGAAACCTTAAAGGGATATTCAGGCAAAATAATGACAAAAATATTAAAATGATCCTATGTACTCAAACCACGCTAAAATGAGTTTTCTTGAAGTTTCAGCATGAATTTCTGTTTAAATTCTATATATTTTGGGTTTGAAGCATAAATATATCTATATATGTTGAACAAAATTCAGACGCCAATAGAATCACCAAATAGTTTTAAAACAAGTCTGGTGACTTGAACAAACCCTTGAAGTTACAATAACAGATATTGTGGATATTGTATGATTGAAACAAGCCTAAGTCATTCATTTGCCATGTTCTTTAACGTTTCCAGAGTTTACTTTGACAACTATTGTGAACTGCTAGCGCCTAACCTGACTGCGGGTCAAGTTAGGAAACCACCATTTTATTCTTTATATGGAGAAAAGTTTTGTTCCCTTTGACTGTCTAATATTTTCATTTTGAGGGCATTTACAGAATAAGGAATGAAAAATTCAAAATTAAGAAATGAAAATTTTGCCTGTGTCTTTCTTTCAAACTTATCCTGTATTGAATGTTTGTTCCACTTTCATTAATTTTCTTAGTAAATTAAGAAAAAGTTAAAAGTTAATGTTGCTAGGATGCAAGTGTTTGTGTTTTCTCTCATCATAGATACTCCCCAATAGTAAAGGGTTATTTTTCAAGTCCATCTGTATAATTATTACTTTATGTACATATAGAGACCAAGTTGGGACCAGAAGCATTTAGATTTGATGGTAATACAGAGGCAAAGGCTGTGAGGCAGAATGAGAAATATTACATTTTACGACCAGAAGTATTAGAGACACACTTCTACATGTGGAGACTAACCAAAGAACAGAAATACAGAGACTGGGCGTGGGAGGCAGTTCAGGTGAGAGTGTCATATTATTGAAGTTTCATTGTTTCAATGTAATATTACTCAATTACCTAAAACTTAACTTTAATAGAAGAGGTATACATTACTTTAAAATTACTCAATATTTCAGTATTGATGCTAGCATTTTACTGTTGTATAATTTCCTTTTGATGTTATACTGTTTGTTCTATTAATATATGTTAACTTTAATATTTGTGGAAGAATTACCAATGAAGCTATAAATGTTGTTATCCCTCGACAAAAAAGTCAGAGGATTAGAGTATTGACCTTGTCCATGGGTTTGTATGTAAAGAAATTCCAAATACAGAATTGTATATAGAATTTTTTGTATGTAAATTATTGCCAGAGATTTGCCAAGAATTTGAAAATACTGGGCCCTGGGCCCACTTGGTCTGAAAATGATGGGCCATTTTCACCAAAGTATGGGCCTTGGGAAAAGAAGTAAACATTGACCTAAATGACTGTTAAAAAGTTTGTAGATAATTGAATTTCCTTTGTTATGGAACTTAAATCATATTTTATGACAAGTGGTTCACTTATGATTCAGTATTTAACAGAGAAGATAACCAATAATTAAAAAAAATGCCTAGACAGTAACTTTCTAATATTAATTGCAGGCAAAACATTTTTTCAAATGGCTGCTCAAAAATCTGATTTGCATAATTTATCCACATAATTTCTAATGCCTAATACTGTGCATTATCCATTTAATTGTTCCTACTTTGCACCAAATGTCCCTGTCACAATGTATATTGACGGATTTTTAGCTCGACTATTCGAAGAATATGAGAGCTATTGTAGTCGCCCCGGCGTCGGCGTCGGTGTCGGCGTCAGCGTCCGCGTCTGCGTTGGTTAAAGTTTTTTGTAAAGTCAAATATCTCAATTATTACTTGAGATATTCAATTGAAACTTACAATACTTATTTATAGTAACAAGGTACAACATATTGACAAGTTGGATAACTCTGCCTACAATATTGACTGAATTATGCCCCTTTTTAACTTAAAAATTTTGGTTAAAGTTTTTTGTTAAGTCAAATATCTCAATTATTACTTGAGATATTCAATTGAAACTTACAATACTTATTTATAGTAACAAGGTACAACATATTGACAAGTTGGATAACTCTGCCTACAATATTGACTGAATTATGCCCCTTTTTAACTTAAAAATTTTGGTTAAAGTTTTTTGTTAAGTCAAATATCTCAATTGTTACTTGAGATATTCAATTGAAACTTACAATACTTATTTATAGTAACAAGGTACAACAGATTGACAAGTTGGATAACTCTGCCTACAATATTGACAGAATTATGCCCCTTTTTAACTTAGAAATTTTGGTTAAAGTTTTTTGTAAAGTCAAATATCTCAATTATTGCTTGAGATATTCAATTGAAATTTAAAATACTTTTTTATAGTAACAATGTACATCAGTTTGCAAAATTGCATAACTCTGCGTGCAATATTTGCAGAATTAATTGCCCCTTTGAAACTTAGAAATTTTGGTTAAAGGTCTTCAAAGATATTTACTTCAAACTTTACACATGCACTTAGGGTCATAATTGGAGGGTCATAATTGTATGTCACTGACCAAGTTCCATAACTCTATCTTGCATTAAGGCTGATTCATATCCCCTATTCTACTTAGTCTCTTGGTTAATGTTTGCATGCAAGTTTTACATATCTTAATAACTACTAAAGATATTTATTTAAAACTTCACATATGCATTTAGGGTCATAATTGTAGGTCACTGACAAAGATCTATGATTCTATCTTGCTTTTAGGCTGATTTTTCTCCCCTTTTTCAACTTAGAAATTCATGGTAAAGTTTTGCTTGTAAGCTGTTATCTCAATAACTACTGAAGGGTTTGTGCCTTTTTTGGGACAATTTATGCATTCATAATAATAAAGCAGTGATTTACTTGATAAAACATCTAAATAAGAAGCCTTTGTACCTTTTCTGTCAAATTTATGTATTCATAGGTAATTAGTATTATTATACTCAATAAAACACCCTTGTGACATTACCCTTAGAATAGTCAAGCCAATACTGTATAATTAGACTCTCTCTAAGGCCTATAACATGAATTTATAAAAAAAAAATTAGCCCTTTTGTGAACTTAAAAAAATTTAACATTATCAAGGCTCTTTTACTATCAAGCACTTAGAATAGTCGAGCGTGCTGTCCTACCGACAGCTCTTGTATTACTTCTTGTATGCCTCTGTGTAGAAAGCATACATCAAAGACACTTGCCGACAGACTTTTTGATCATGAAAAAAGTCATGCACAATGTTTCCCAGATTGGTTAATCACCCTGTCAAATATTCTGATGACGAAAAAGACATATTTTTTTACACTTCATTAGCCAAAGCTTGCGTGAACTTGAGTGACCTTAGGGGAAATCAAGTTGTACACCTGTCAGATTATACTGTAACTTACAGCTTTTCTAAAAATAGCAACTACCAATAATCATTTTAAATATAAGTAGTTGTATAATTTTTTTGTTTGTTTGCTTTATTGGATTAAATTTACGGTAGTAGAAATGAGTGAGTATCTGTGTGGGAAAGGGATTATGAGAAGAAATGCGGTAAGTAAATAAGGTGAACAAAAGCTATAGGGGAATGGATAAACTCAAGAATATGCGTAATTACAGGGGAATGGGTAACATGTTGCTGTTGGTACCAGTTTTGACTGGATGACTAAATAACCCAGCGGACAGTTTTGTTTTCACAAGTCTTGCACAGATTTTAGATGCGCCCTTTGCTGCCAATTTTTCTGCGCCATTCTCATTTTTTTAGCGCCAATGGTGCAAAATCGCGTCCTTGGCAGATCTCTGATTGCCCATAAAATTTTTTATGATACTTATAAGTAATAATGGCATATTACATTAAACTTTTATTTTTGTTTTCCCTAACTTATTTTTGGATGTTAACTTGTCTTGTGTGTCACACTGACTTACTGTTTCTAAAAGCAGCTACATTAATTGACTGATGTTATATATATTATATAATAAGTGTGTTGGAACCTTCCATAGAACCACTTCTTTTTGATGATGTTCACGTCAATTGAGTCAAAATCACTGAAATTATGAATAGATTTTCCATATTTTCTTATAAAAAGGCCATGCAAAGGGACATCTAGCTTTCAGCATTCATCAATGTAAGAATATCTTGTTTTTATTCTGCAGACTTTAGGACATCTATCTGTGAGCCATTATTTCACATATTATCTTTTTTTTATTCTACAGGCTCTGGAGAGACATTGCCGTACAGAGAATGGTTATTCAGGTATACGGGATGTGTACCAGTCACATCCACAACAAGACGATGTTCAACAAAGTTTCTTTTTAGCTGAAACATTAAAGTATTTATATCTTATATTCTCGGACGATGATTTGATACCATTAGATAAATGGGTATTTAATACAGAAGCCCATCCTTTACCTGTGGCGGGAACCCATAAAATACAGTCTAAACAAGACAGATGATGACATTCTTACCCCACCCACAGCATTGTGATCATCTAGAAATTTCAAACTTATAGTAATAGGCATTTTTCTTTGCACAATTTAATGTAGTTACTTCTTTACAGTTGATAAGCTGTACAAAATCTTGTTGCGACACATTACATCAGTCATAATGGACGTGAATATTCATGATAAGGTTTATTTTATGATGGTAAAATGGACTTTTGTGATGGAGTATGAATTTTGTTAAGTTTAAAGTTTTAGTCACTTCATTTGTTTTTGTTTATCTGTAATAGTGAGACTATCGTGTCATTTAATATTCACCCACCAGTAGACTGGTAATAAGTCAGATTCTCAGGTTTTATAATTCTTGATAACAATATAAAACATTTTCTTACATGCATTTTACGTAGATTGTTTTCTTCACAGTTGAAAACAAAACAGCTTAAACATAGCACTCCGTAGAAATATAGAACTCGATATTTACCATGGATAAATGGTCTGTATTTTTTCTAACTATGGTTTTAATAGTTGTCAGATCATGGTTTAAATACAAAAAAAAATTCAGTTAGAAATGATGGTATATGCTGAACATTGAATTGAACGCCAAAGGTGTTCCGTAATAGATTGTAGTGCATGTGTGGACAAGGAACCCAATTTCTGTTCTTATAATATTATATCATCAATCACAAATCATGAGAGCATGTAATTTGAATGCTGTAAAATGACAAAAAAAATGTTTTTTCTCATGTTTATGAAGTCGGGGTCCACCCATTTTGATTTTTTTCAGTCATGAAATTATGTCAATTTGGAAAAAAAAAAATTTGTGCCAACTGTCAAATCATGGTTTTTTTTAGTCAATAAGAATTTTTAGATTTTGTTTTGTGAAAAATTTGAAATTTTTGCTTTTTGGAATAAGCCTGTTTATCAGAATTTTCTAAAAAAGAAATGGGAGGAAAAGCCAGAATGATACATGTAATGTGTTCTGTTGTGGAGATGCCGTGTTTCAGATATGTGTTCACATGTATTCAGATTTAAAGGATGGGGGATAATCCTAAATGTCCTCCTATGATTGATTGGAAAAATAAAATCATCATCATTGCAACAGATTATAGCTGTAACTGTGTAAAATTGAAAAAGGCAGATACAGAAATCTTGTATTGGGATAATTACATACATGTATGTAGACAATCTTGATAATTTTATGTCCAGTATGGTATAATTAAAAGGGTAAATATGAAATGAATATTTATGTGTGATTTTGACAAGCTGTGATATTGTTTAGATAAAGATACATTGCTTGTGACAATTTCCTTATAATTTCTAAAAAAATTGCACGGTTTAATTCTCTGCAGAAATTTTTAAATTTGAAAATAAACTTTATTTTCACTCTGTAGCTAATGTTGGTCCAGAATATTATCTTTTAGAATAAACTAATAATGCTCAACATGTAAGTTGAAAACATAAATAGATAAACATGTTGTCAATTGTTTTAGAAAGGTTTGAAATTTCTTACCTTTACTACTTTATTAGTAAATAAATTCAACTAGACATAATTATTTTAACGAGCACATGTATATAAACTTTTTATCATGTTTCCTACTTTATCTAATTCAGTTAGAGATAATGTCTGATTTAGAGTTTCAAAATCAAGATACATGTACTTATGGTAGTATCTTATGAAAACACCATTATTTGAAATAGATAAGCACTTAGAAAATACAGCCTAGCTTCTACTCAGAATAAAATGAAAACAAATATGTTATTACAAGTGATTTATTGGCATACTTTATTTTATTTCATATCACAAAGCCTCATGTACTTTGAATATTATTAAATTTTTTTTTCAAGTGCCAGTTAAGTTTGTTAAGGTGTGTAGGGTTTTCTCTCAGCCAGTAAATTATTGGTTACCTCATAATATTAAACAGTAAAGTGTAAATATGAAGACTTACTGGATTGTTGTAATTTGTTCTGAAACTTTGTTTGAGTAGTTAACAGTGCAACATATGAACTTTGAAGTTCAACCACCCCAATTTGATGCCACAATTGCTCCAACTGCTCACCCCACCCAACCTCAAAGAAAATCTTTGGAAAATTAATAACTTCTAATATGTAATGTTTATTGGCTAAATCATTTATTATAATGCTAATTGGCTCAATTACAGATGTAATTTTTCCCCAATTGATGTAACAATACAAAACTGTTAGAACTGCACTGAACTGTTATTGCTAAATTTTTGTAATGTACCTCATTCTTCTTTGAAGTAGAATTTTTAGTAATTCCAGTATTTAATTTTAATACTAAAGCTGGTCAGCACATTCAAGAGGGTCAGATTGCATAGATGATTTTGCTGACTTGGCTATTATCTGATGAAAAAGGTCAATTATTTTGACCATTAGTGCTGAAAAGGGTCAAATAGGATGCATTTACAGTAATCTTGCATTATGGCAATAATTGGTACAAAAAAATATATAAAAAATTGTACATTATCTCATGTTGGTTAATGGCACATAAAACATAATTGTCATTTAGTGCCAATTTACCATGGTATTTTATTGTGTAAATATTTAGAGTATATCATCATCACATAGTAATAATAAATGATATATTGTATATGTCATAAATTTTTGGAAAAAAAGTCAATGTATGATTGAATATACATTTTTATATGTTATTTATATTGGGAATGATTTTAAGCTGTTATATTAAATATGGAATTATAAATGAGTGATTGTTGAACTATATTGCATGGCTAACCATGGTATAAATGTTGATAATGACTTGTCAGGTTATAGGTCATGTAATAAATGTGTTATAACATAGTCATATACAGTATGAGAATCTTGTCATTGAAAATAATTTGTTAACATGGAATAAAAAAGGCTGTTCTATATGCAAATTTTACAGGAAACAGTTTGAGAAATCTATGCTGTGAATGTTTTTGATGAGGGCTTTATTATGACTGGTTTAAGTGGGGGAGGGAATGAAGAGTAGTTCAGTTGGTGAAATATTTTTAAGCAAGTAATGTTGCAGATACTGGCTTTTTACAGAATTATGATCCTTTTTAAACTCAGAAAATTCTACATTATCCAGGCTCTTTTTTTAGCATCAAGCACTGGGAATAGTTGGGTACACTGTCCTACAGACAACGTTTGTTCTAGATTACATTGAAACTTATTACTGATTATTACTTATTATTGAATTATTACAATAGACATATAGTGGCAAATTGTCACTGTTACTGAACTTCTCCTTTTTGTAAAATTTGTGTCTAGACATAACTGTGATTATTTTCTTTGTAACAGATTATTTTCAGTCACATGGTTTACCAATACTACATATTAAGCATTATTCATCATGTAGATTATAGCATGTGTATGTATGTATGAATGTGGTATTAAGGTAAACTGATTGCTGTATTAAGTCACTCTAGTCTTATGTATTACATGTTGTAGATGAAAGTTACATATGACAGACATTTATTTACAAATACATGTACTTATATACATTCTGATAAGTGAAAACAGCTGAGGTTCCCATTGTGCCACAAAAACATAAAGTTGTTTTAGCCTTATAATTATATTAAATACTTTACTGTTTCAGACATGAGTATTGTTTTAAGATGAGAGTGTTGTAAAACAAAATATCATGGTATAATGTTTATTTGATAGTCAACTTTCTCAATGGTTTCACTAAGTTTTGTTTTATCTGTGTTTGTACATGATGATTGGTATTTTTATTTTGAGAATTAATGCACTGGAAACAAACTTCAGTCCATTGAGTAACATATATTGAAACAACTATATTGTGTCTTGTTAGCATATGAAATTGTTTTCTTAGGATGTAAAAACATGTTTGATAATATTTTAAATATAAACATCAGCTCAGTCTCAAACTTGTAACAGCCTGGGCAGTGTAGATAAATCAGTTTAACTGTTATAAGAATAAATGTTTTGAAATTCATTAAAAATAGGAATGGAATGATTCAAATTATGTTGTCCATTGATACACCGTGAATCCACAATCATAGGTTAATAAATATTCAGTAACAACCTCAGCAGGTTGTAGGTTGACCTACATTGCTGAAATGAAAAAAAGACTAAATTACCCTTCTTTGAACTTGAAACAGTGCATAAGTAGTTAAAGAGATTTCAGTATTCAACTAGTTAATTATAGTCTGTACAGACAACATGGATATGCAAGCTTGTCTGATTCCATGTAACAAGCATAGGGCTGTTTATATCAATGCTGAGGTAACAAAGTATCTTGAACTTGTTATCCCTGTGAAATCATTTCATGTAATGTATTTTTATCACAACTTTAAATTTTTAGACAATGTCTTTGCTGCATATCATTTTAGATTTTGTATTTTTTTTGTATTATGAAATACATGTATACAATATCCTTGTTTTTGCATAAAAAAACATAGACTAAAAAAGGCTGATATAATGTTTCTTGGGGCAAGACTTTATATGTAGAAACAGTCAAGATGTGGTGGCTGTGATAGTAGAAATGTATCAGTTATGTATTACTGTTAAAACTTGTCATATTGTACATGGTTTTATATTGCTCATGTGTAGCTCTAGTCACTTGATACCAGGGCTTTAAGATGATCAGATTCTGAATTATCCATGGAAATATATATATTTATTAAGTCAAGTTCAACTGTGAACATAGATAATCTTTCTGTGACCATAAACCATTTGTGAACATATACTATTTATGAGCAGAGATCATCTGTGAACATAGATCCTATGTGAACATAGATCATCTGCGATAATAAGCCATTTGTGAACATATACTATTTATGAACAGAGATCATCTGTGAACATAGATCCTATGTGAACATAGATCATCTGTGATCATAAGCCATTTGTGAACATAGATCATATGTGAACATAAACCATTGTGAACATAGAGCATCTGTGAACATATACCATTTGTGAACATATATTATCTGTGAACAAGGACCATCTGTGAACATAGATCATCTGTGAACATATACCATTTGTGAACATAGACTATTTATAAAAATAGATTATCTATGAACATAGGTCATCTGCAAACATTTACTATTTGTGGACATAGATCATCTGTGAACACAGAACATTTGTTAACATAGATTTTTTGTGAACATAGACATTCATTCTGTGAACATCATTGCCATCATTCTATTGTCCATTTCAGGATTTGTATCACATTTTGATTTTAAAATAAGGTCTTATGTCAACAAAGATTCCTTACATGGCTTTCTAACGAATGGTATAGACTTTATAGGCTTTATAGACAGGTTTGATCTGTAAGATGTGTAAAACATAAAGAGGGTCATATTAAACTGTAATATATCTGTAGATAATTCTGAATCTTTTCATCAAATTTCAATTGGTTTGTTTTGGTCAGATAAAGCTTTAACATGGTTAATACATAGAAGTTTGTTTGGAGAACTAATCAAAATATGTTGCCTGGAAACAGCGTAAGGATTATTAGTGTTGCTTTATTTAGTTCAGAGTAACTTTGATGTGTTCTTGTTTAGGTTAATAGTATAATAGTTATTATATATCCATATTATGTTTATTGCCCTTCCAGTTTCTATTGTACCAGACTTAAACACGTAAGTTTGTGTCAATAGTCAAATAGCTCTGTCATTAAACATTTAACAATGATTTTGAATTTCCTTGTTAATTGTTTGGCTGTTTATTTTCCCTACCTTCGAACATGTTGAAATGGTACATACTGTCTTAGATACGTATGTAAAATATACACATGTAGTTAAATATAATGTTTAGATATTCATAGATATCTTAAATATACAATTTGAACATATATAATTTCATCAAATTACTAAAATTTTGATCATCTGAAGATATTTTTTTTATATACAGTTTTTTTGGCTTAATGTTTCCATTCTTATATATTGTATATTGCATTTAAGCAAAGTTGTAATAAAATTGTTTACAAGAATTGCAAACTTAGACGGAGTCCCTGCAAGAGTTCATGATTAATTTTATGACTAAGCTTTTCTTGATTATATTGTGAGTAAAACAGAATGGCAATTCTTGTATAAGATACATATTTTTAAAGATTTGAATATATGAGCCGCGTCACGACAAAACCAACATAGTGCGTTTGAGACCAGCATGGATCCAGACCAGCCTGCGCATCCGCGCAGTCTGATCAGGATCCATGCTGTTCGCTATTAGTTTCTCTACTTGTAAAAGGGTTGGTAAGCGAACAGCATGGATCCTGATCAGACTGAGCCGCGCCATGACAAAATCAACGTAATGCGTTTGCGACCAGCATGGATCCAGACCAGCCTGCGCATCCGCGCAGTCTGATCAGGATCCATGCTGTTCGCTTACAAACCCTATAACAAGTAGAGAAACTGATAGCGAACAGCATGGATCCTGATCAGACTGCGCGGATGCGCAGGCTGGTCTGGATCCATGCTGGTCGCAAACGCACTATGTTGGTTTTGTCGTGACGCAGCTCATATATGTAAGATGTATGATATTTGTTAAATAGATTTCATCATATTGATGAACTTTTTATAATGGAACTGTTCACTGTATTTATGGTGCCGATGCCATGTGAATATTTTGTGAACTGTGGTGGAACACTAATAAGATGATCCAGGTTATGTTTTCTTAATATTTTTTAGCTCAACTGTCACAAAGTGACAGGGTGAGCTTTTGTGATCGCTTTCATCCGTCGTCCGTCCGTCGTCCGTAAACTTTTACTTTAAATGACATCTCCTCATAAACCGCTGAGCCAATTTCATCCAAACTTCACAGGAATGTTCCTTTGGTGGTCACCTTTAAAAATTGTTCAAAGAATTTTATTCCATGCAGAATTCTGTTGCCATGGCAACCGATAGAAAAGACTTAAAATATCTTCTTTTAAAAAATCCAAAGAGGTAGAGCTTAGATATTTGGCATGAAACATCTTCTAGTAAGTGTCTATCAAGTTTGTTCAAATAAAAGCCATGGGGGTCACAATTGGCCTCGCCCCGGGGTCATTGTTATTTCCTATATGCATATAGTAAAAAAACTTAAAAAATCTTCTTTTAAGAAACCCAAAGAGCTAGAGCTAAGATATTTAGAAACGAAACATCTTCTAATGGGTGTCTACCAAGTTTGTTCAAATAAAAGCCCTGGGGTCAAAATTGGCCCTGCCCAGGGGGACATTGATTTTCCTTATATGTGTATAGCAAAATCTTAAAAATCTTCTTTGAAAAAAACCAAATAGCTAGAGTTTTGATATTAAGCATGAAACATCTTCTAGTGAGTGTCTTCAAAGTTTGTTTAAAAAAAAAAAGTTCTGGGGGCAAAACTGGCCCCGCCCTAGGGATGTCATTGCTTTGAACTATATGTGTATAGTTATAACTTAAAAAATCTTTTTTTTTTAAAAACTCAACGAGCTAGACCTTAGATGTTTAGCATGAAACATCTTGTAATGGGTGTTTACCAAGTTTGTTAAAATAAAAGCCCTTGGGTTTAAACTGGCCCCACTCTGGGGGCCTATATACAGGTGAGCGACTTCAGGGCCATCATGGCCCTCTTATTGTTTCATTATCTTAAATGAGTTAAAATAAAGAGAACATTCAATTAAGAGAGTAACCAATACTTTGAATGTGTCATGGGAAAAAAGAGTATTGTTTTTTGTAAAGTGAAACCCTCTCCAATTATATCTGAAAGTTGAAGTACAGGGTTTTATTATATCTGCCTTCATTTTTGACTGCTCAAATAACCAGTTTTGATTTACCAGAAATTTTTTCTCAAGAAAGAAAGAAACCCAGTTATTTTTTTTCTCAGAAAGAAAGAAACCCAGTATTGGTTACTCACTTAAAAATCAGCAGACTCTTTTCTTTATCCCCCCCCCCTACATTATGAAAAAAATATATAATGAAATATTTGAAAGATTCCAAAGAAAGTATAACCTGGACCATCTATTTTATTGGTTTTCCATACAACACAAATGACAAAAGTTCAAGAGGTATAGACAATGTGGTAATTTTATTGAAAAACTGCATTCAGAGAATATCTATAAATTTATGTCTAATAAATGGATATGTCAGGCATATTTTTGGTGTTTTTTAATTCATATGTGTTTTTTGGGGGAGGGGGCGTATTTCATATGAATTATGATGTTTTTTGCTGTTTTTCTTTAGTTAAAAAGAGTTTTAATTGTTTGCTGTTTTATAAATATGAGTTCAGACTTTTGCTAACTTAATGTGAATATGAAATGAAATTTCTTTTTCACTGAAAAGGTTATGTGTACACATGAAATATATTTTTATCTGTTATATCTTGCAAATTGATTATATATTTGATTGTTTTGCAGTGAGATATGAAAAAATATTTTTCATTGTATTTTTCCTTAATTGCTAGAATTCATTAGTTACATTATAAAGCATGTAATTAAAGAAAGTTGGTTTAAATTTTCATACATATTTTGACAATATTTTACTGCATTTAGAAGCACTATATGTAAATATGTTTAACATATATTGTCAGGAATTGAGAATAAATTGAAACTGTTGGCTGCTCAATTATCTAAACAGTTGGAATAGTTTTCAAAATTAAAATGACAGAAAGATAAGATAGTGTTAAAAAGTTGTTTTTTAAATTTAAGTTTTTTTGTTGTTTTTTTTTGTTTGTTTTTTTAGCTCTTCTCATCTGACTTTGTTTTGTCCTTTTCTCCCAGGTATATACTTATTCTAATGGGGAGTATATAAATCAGAAGGGATTGTTTATAAAAAAGAAAAGTATATGAGCTGCGTCACGACAAAACCAACATAGTGTGTTGGCGACCAGCATGGATCCAGACCAGCCTGCGCATCCGTGCAGTCTGATCAGGATTCATGCTGTTAGCTATCAGTTTCTCTACTTGAAATAGAGTTGGTAAGTGAACAGCATTGATACTGATCAGACTGCGCGGATGCGCAGGCTGGTCTGGATCCATGCTGGTCGCAAACGCACTATGTTGGTTTTGTTGTGATGCCGCTCATATAAACAGTGGGATGGCTGATACAGATAAATAAGAGGAGATGGTCTCACGCTAATGGGTACAGTTTAATCATTTGTCTCAAATACTTATTGAGTGCTAGATATATTTTTATACACAAACATTCAAAATCTGTATATAATTGTTGCTCTGAATGCAGTGCCAAAGTATGTTGTAAATTTTGTTATGTCACAAAGTAGATAAAACACTATGTTCTGTTTAACTTATTAATATCTTTTATATGTAATCAACTGACTTCATTGCTTATCTGTGGAAGTAAAGAGAATTTTTTGTTGCCTCTAATCTTGTAGACACTTGAAAAATGCAGAATTTTCTTTTAAAATATGATTGTCACATTTAAATTCTTTTTTAGCTCACCTGTCACAAAGTGACAGGGTGAGCTTTTGTGATCGCTTTTCGTCCGGCGTCCGTCCGGCGTCCGTCCGTCCGTAAACTTTTACTTTAAATGACATCTCCTCATAAACCACTAAGCCAATTTCATCCAAACTTCACAGGAATGTTCCTTTGGTGGTCAACTTTAAAAATTGTTCAAAGAATTTAATTCCATGCAGAACTCTGGTTGCCATGGCAACCGAAAGAAAAAACTTTAAATATCTTCTTTTAAAAAACTGTAAGAGCTAGAGCTTAGATATTTGGCATGAAACATCTTCTAGTGAGTGTCTACCAAGTTTGTTCAAATAAAAGCCCTGGGGTCAAAATTGACCCCGCCCCAGGGGGTCATTGATTTTCCCTATATGCATATAGTAAAAACTTAAAAAATCTTCTTTTAAAGAACCCAAAGAGCTAGAGCTAAGATATTTAGCATGAAACATCTTCTAATGAGTGTCTACCAAGTTTGTTCAAATAAAAGCCCTGGGGTCAAAATTGGCCCCGCCCCAGGGGGTCATTGATTTTCCCTATATGCATATAGTAAAAACTTAAAAAATCTTCTTTTAAAGAACTCAAAGAGTTAGAGCTAAGATATTAAGCATGAAACATGCTCTAATGGGTGTCTACCAAGTTTGTTCAAATAAAAGCCCTGGGGTCAAAATTGGCCCCTCCCCGGGGGTCATTGATTTTCCTAATATGTGTATAGCAAAAACTTAAAAATCTTCTTTGAAAAAACCCAAATAGCTAGAGTTTGAATATTAATCATGAAACATCTTCTAATAAGTGTCTACAAAGTTTGTTCAAATAAAAGCCCTGGGGTCAAAACTGGCCCCGCCCCAGGGGTGTCATTTATTAACTATATGTGTATAGTAAAAACTTAAAAAATCTTCTTTAAGAAACCCAATGTGCTAGAGC